CTTATTATAAGCTTAGTATACTTCCTTTTCTTAATTTCCTGACCATATACTAATCATAAAAACATGAGTGTTATATACTAATTACTTTACTTGATTTTTAAAGTTTATGAATTAATATCTTTTCGTTTTATTCCTTATTAGTTATTTTAACAAAAACCCATGTTTGTACATGCTTTAATGAATAATTAATTCAAAGGGCCACTAACAATATAAAATTAACATAAAGGAAAAATTTACCATTACAATTGATCAATTAATTTTTTGATATTGTTATTTTGTTCTTTTACCTTTAATTTTTATATTAGCGGTCATTCTTTTGTTAATTCTTTTTCCTATTTTGCAGACAAGTTTGTCAAATAAGTTGGCATTATTTAGCAATGGTATTGCAATCAATGCATAATATAAGCAAAGATGTTTTTCAAACATATATAGATACATAGGCAATTTTTTTTTCTTTTTCTTTTAATTCAGGTTATTCCCATTATATTAAGATTCCAGATGAAGTTATTAAATCACGTTTGCATCATTTAGTTCATACAAGTTCGCTAATTGGGATAACGAACTAGCCGCAGCAGGTTGTCATGTGGCAAAGGTTCCTTTGGAGCATTGATGAAGTTCTGAGAAATTACTGAGGAATGACTAATCAGCGTGTGTCACAGGCTGTGGGAAAAGTTTTTTTTTTGCAATTTTTTTGACAGTGATTGCATGCAGTGAGGCCTTTTGACTCTAGTAATATGTTTTTTAAAACATATCACCGCAATAATTTCATTATGAAATGATATATCATTATAATGCATAACGACGTGGTAGATGAGCAACCATTATAAGACGCGTCCTCGTAATGAACGCGTTTCATGCAACCTGAAGACCGAGCACATCTTTGGTGCTACTGTAGTATGTACTCCTTTATTAAAAGTAGAAAATGGTGATGGTTTTAGGGAAAATAACCATACAAGAAAGGGTAAAATGGTAAAGAAAATATATTATATTTTCTAAATTGAATAAATGATGTACCGAGTCTTCAGTACTACAGTAGTACCGAAGATATTTCCCTGGGGAAGGCGGGATTTTTGTAGTGGTCCTGGATGTACCTGACGCGGCTGGAGAGTACCGTCTTCGAGACGAATAATTCTTTGGTACTACTGTTGTACCAAAGATTCAGTGCATCCCACTAATGAAAATATTACATGTCAATTAAAATTCTTTTTTTCTGTCAAATTTTTTCTCTCTCCTCTGATGTGTAATGTTTTCATTGATGGGATGCACTGAATCTAAGTACAACAGTAGTACCAAAAATTTATTCCTTCCCCAGCAGCTTCTCCCATTGTCGTCGATCAGGGAAGTCGGAGAAAATAGCAGTGTTTTAAAACCCGGCTCGGACCGGGCGGGTCGATTCGGGACTCGGTGACCCGATAGGTTTCCCGGTCCGAGCGGGTAGTTAGACCGGTTATGCAGTCAGTCCGGATTGGACCGGTTGACCTGGCCGAAACCCAGCAACCCGGTTGACTCGGGTTAAACTAGTTTTTCCTTCTTCTTCTTTTTTGGTAATTTTTGTTGTTGTTGATAAGACTTGAATTAAATCATATTCATATTTTATGATGAATATGATTAAAAGTAAGGTGAAAATAATAAGGTATTTTAGATTAGTGTAGTTCGTTTATGTAATTTAGTTGCATTTTATAATGATTTCATGAAGTTAAGTGGTGATAAACACTGATGGTCTCATTATCTCATCTCAACGGTCTAGAGCTAGAAGCTTAGAAGTATATAATATTTGCTATCATTGAAAACTAATTTATTTTTTGAAGCTCATAGATAGTTTTCTTATGTGAATTTTTATTAATATAAGTAATATTTTTAATATGTAAACCGTAAAACTGGTTCAACCCGGTTGAACCAGTGACCCAATGACTCAGTACCTCGACCGGTTCGATGACCGGTCCGAGTTTTAAAACACTGGAAAATAGTGTTTATTTTACATTGCTCAAATAAACAGCCATTGCTCACATTAGAAACTATTTGAATGACAGTTGTGCAATTAAAAAAAAAATGGCAAATGGGTCACTAACACTTTAAAAAATTTACTATTTGAATCACAGTTGAACAATTTTTTTTTAAAAAAAAAATGACAAATGAGTCACTATTTCATAATATTAAATGACACACAAGAGAATCCATAACTATTATTTATGCCTCATCCTTCTTTTTATTTTATTTTTATAACAATAGATGTAATCTTTATATTCTAAGAACATGAGCCACATTTTGAAATATAACCCTTTCATATGGGAATCAATTGCGAAGAAATTTTCACATTCTCATATCAACTATCTTCTTCAATTTCGATATGCAATAGAATCATTTTGTTAAAATAATTTTTTTTTCTTCATAATTTTAATTTTTTTTAAAAAAATCGTTGAAGCGTTTTATTATTATAATAGACATTTATTGCTGCATTTTTTTAAAAAAAAAAACTAAATAAAATTACTATTATGATATTTCAATTTGGTATTTAGAAAAATGCTTTGTAAAAAAATTTCATTAAAATATAGTTTTATAAAAGATTTTAACATATTTTTAATAAAAAAAAAATCAATCATTTTGTTATATTTATCCATCATTTTTATTTTTATTTTGTATCAAAGTTATCCATCATTTTAACCTCCGTTATATTTCAACTAGAGGGTAATCTTTAGGAAAGAATAATTCATCCTCGACACTAAAGTTAATGGATAATATGAGTAAAACTATTTCAAAAAATTATTTCTAAAACTTTTGTTCCCTGGAAAATAATCATAATGATAATAATTTTGTTAGAATCTGCTCATGCTCTAACATTTCATTATTTAAAATTTCAGTATTTTTTAAATAGGATGACAAATGGAAGATGAATGCCTATAAAAATTTGATCTTTCGATAATTATATTTAAGCTTTCTTAGCCACGAAAAAATTTATTATTTATTGTTGTTATTATTACGGTATTTCTGATCTCATAAATTGACATGGGAAAAACTTTGTATTCTCATACGATTTTTTTAGTTAAGCCAAATTACGGATTACGTTAAGAAAAAAATAGACAAATATCTTGAGACTGGGGTTGTGTTTGTCAAGTGAATTTTTTTTTAAGAGAATAAAATATATTAAGGTGATAATAATTAAATTTTTAAAAGATAAATGCTGGAAATACAGCCGTAATAATACACATTACAGACGAATATTAGTTTTATAAGATATTTGTTTGATCCGTGCAAAATTAATGTAATGTAAATATTTTTGAAAAATAAAAGTTTAATGCAATAACTCATGATATATTCATTTTGCTTCATAACATGTCCATTTTGACATTATTTAACAAAGCCTGAAACAAATTTAAAAGAATAATTAATAGGGAAAGAGGTGTGTCTCATTTTAAATGACTCACTTTGTGTCTTTTATTTTCACAAAGAAATAAGACCCACACTTTTAAAAAATTTCTTTCCACTCTCTTTTCTACGATCTATCTCTTTCTCTTATTTTATTTGTTTTTGGTGAAGGGCACAGCCCCAACAAAAACAAAGAAATTACATCAAAGAGTGCCTAGCTCTGTGAACAGAGTTAAAATCAGAAAAGTAGAACCACCTAATATCAGGGGGAACATGAAAAATCATAAAATCTTCTTGGTCTAGCTTTAGCAGAGGAAGATTAGCTAGTCAATCTGCACAAATATTTCCTTCTCTGTAAGTGTGAAGCAGCCTAACAGTCCAGTCCTTTGAGAGCCATTCCCGTATACGAGTCACTAAATGAGACTCACGGGACTCATCACCAAGTTTGGTGAGCAAAGTGATAGCATATGTTGAATCACTCTCCAAAATAATTTTCTTTCAACCCCCTTCCCAAGCTCTTTCCAATCCTTTAAGAATACCCCACAACTCAGCTATAATTGTTGTGCAATGGCCTATTCTATAAGAATAAGCTTCCAACCATTTTTCATCCGATCCTCTAATCAAACCTCCACAAGCAGACATACCTGAATTTCCTTTAGAGGCCTCATCTGTATTAATCTTTATCCAATCATCTTCAGGAGGTATCTATGTATAATATTACCATCTGATTCCACTGATATCATAATCTCCCTAGCAAACAACAAAATAGCATCCAGATTATACCTGTTAACCATACTGCCCGAACCATGCATCATGTCATTCCTCCAAGTCCAAGCCTTCCAAATGGTTATACCAAATAACAGCGCCCAGGGAATATTAAAGCAATTAGATGACAGCTAAAATGTGATACACAATTTTGTATCTTTTAAAATGATACACAATTTTCCCTAATTAATAATGATACATACATATTTTTATATGCCCATCATTTTATATTTGTTCAGTTTTCGATTTTCAATTACAACTAATTTTGGATGAAATTTCAAACACTTAAGGCATACACTCTGATTGCGTGTCAATTGAAAGGAGAGGAAAAAAATGTGATCCACAATAAATATTTCCTAAAATATACGCTGGAAAAAGTTAATATTAATATTAAGGTTCAAACACATATAAATAAGGGATAAGATATTCTTACTATCAAATAATATTACTATTAATATCATTATCATATCTTAACTTTTAATTTCCATCAATCAACAGTAATTATTTTCACAAATTAAACTTATTAATTAATTATTAATTCACAATTAATGATAACTGTTGATTGAAAAAAATCAACAATTAAGATATGATAATAATATTATTTTGCAGTAACAATATCGTTATAAAAAAAAGTCATTTTTAACTAAACATGCAAATTTGAAAAGAAATAATAAGTAGTATTTATTTTACATTACTTAATTAGATTGATTAATTAAGATGGGGGCAACTTCATCTGTAATTTAATTTGTGGCAATAACCTGAATAAGTAAATAAAAAAGGGGTCAACGTGTAAGAGAATTTCTCCTGATGTTGTCACTTACAATACTCTATTCTATGGCTTTTGCATTCTTGGTCGATTGAAAGAAGCAGTTGCTTTGTTTAATGATATGCTATTGAAAAATATCAAGCCAAATGCTCGTACCTTTAACATATTGGTTGACGCATTGTGCAAGGAAGGAAAGGTCAAGGAAGCAAAATATGTGTTAGCTGTTGTGATAAAAGAAGGTGTAAAACCTAATGTTGTTACTTATAGTACATTAATGGATGGGTATTGCTTAGTTAAGGAAGTGAACAATGCAAAATATGTGTTCAATACTATGGTCCCAAGGGGAGTGACTCCTAATGTTTGGAGCTACACAATCATGATTAATGGATTATGTAAGAGTGGAATGGTCGATGAAGGCTTGAATCTTTTTAGCGAAATGCATCGCAAAAAAATGATTCCTAATACGGTAACTTACAATTCTCTTATTCATGGTTTGTGCAAATCAGGGAGAATCTCTTCTGTTTGGGATCTTATTGATGAGATGCATGATAAAGGTCAACCACCTAATATAATCACTTACAATTCCGTATTAGACTCTTTATGCAAAAACCATTATCTTGACAAGGCAATTGCATTAGTCACGATAATTAAAAACCAGGGAATTCTGCCAAATATGTGCACATACACTATACTTATTGATGGATTATGCAAAGGTGGAAGACTTAAGAATGCACAAGAGGTTTTCCAGGATCTTTTGTTTAAAGGCTATCTTCTAGATGTCCAGACATATACTGCTATGATCAATGGTCTGTGTAAAGCAAGCTTGTTTGATGAAGCATTGTCCTTGCTATCCAAAATGGAAGACAATGGTCGTATGCCTGATGCAGTAACTTTTGAAGTAATTATTCGTGCTCTCTTTGAAAAAGATGAGAATGATAAGGCGGAGAAACTTCTACGTGAAATGATTGCTAGAGGCTTGTTGTAAGAGTAAAACTAGGTGAGATGTTTTCTAGTTACACATTTAAGTTATTTTGAAATTTTGATGATGACTAATCTTTATTTCGTTTGATAGTTACACATAAAATAAAAAATAGACTATGCAATGGGCTCACTATCACTTTAGTTTTAATTAAAAGTAATATGTTGTTAGGTTCATCTTGATATTATAACGATAACAGTTGTCAGTGGTCAGTTTTTTTTTTTTTTTTAGTCTTGAGGTAGCTATGCTTTTTCTTACCAATGTACTAGCGATCTGCTTCATCTACTTTTAGGGGGCGTTTGGTTGATGAAATTTTTTTGGAATAGTAGGAAAATGAGATAGATAGAGAAATGATTGGAAAATGAGATAAAGTGAGATGGGTAGAAAAATGTAAAAACAAGTTGTTTGGTGGGGAAAAACTTTACTGGAAAAATTAGGTAATTTTATGAAATCAACAGTGCATTAAAAGTGAGATAACCGATTTTCCAAAAAATCCCACCTTCAAACTGGGTTTCTAAACAGTGCGGATATCTATGTTTCTCTTAAATCCATACAAATTAGATAGATGGGTTTTTGGTGAAAATATGTTGAAACAAACATGGTGTTTCTAAAAGCTATACTTGAGAAACATATATATCTCTTGAAAAGCTCCAAATCACTACTCATCATTACTGTTTCAGATAACAAAACAAGCTGAAGCTAGCATGATATTCTGGAATGCATTTTCTGCTATTGTTGGGACTCTATTTACCCCAAATTATATAAAGTAGAGCTGGTTTCTTTTTTGGCTGTATATTTCTTGTGGTGATTCTACAGAAAGTGAGGATTTTAAAACACAAGCATATTTTGGTTACATTATTTGAGTTGTCTTAGATGTTAAAGTTGCTGATATTTTCCTGAGGTCATTGCCGCACAAATAATTTGAGTTTGTTTTATGGTTTTTAGTTATGTATCAATTACATTGTATTAGTATTCTTTTATATTATTTCATACAGCTGCTAGAGCTTGCAAAACAATCTCTCTCTATACTTAATAATTATTTGAGATCAGTGAGAGAGTCACAAACTCCTCTATCCATTTCTTGGTTTTATCTCTCCATCTGCATTGTTGACTGTGGTAAAACTTAGTTGCTTCGAATCATCAATGCAACTCTGAATTACGAGCTCTTCTTTGTTGTTGCTAATCACACCTTGCTTGATGTTGAGATTGATGCAACATTACAAATCTTTCCAACCAGAGCAATCATAGTTGCTTCTGGCCAGACGGCTAATGTTCTCACTTCTAATCATGTTCTTTATTCTTCAGGCATGTTTGTTACAGAAGCTAGACCTTTAAGCACATATGTTTCCCTTTTGATAACTTCACAACTTGCATTTTTGATGTACAAAACACAAATCTGAGAAATCCAAGTGGTATATATTCTTTCCAATCTCCCTGAAATTGAAGGTATAACCTTTTGATTCTTCAGAGAGGAATGCAGTGGTTATTCCGAGGGGAGGACCGGTAGCAATTGAGTTTAAGGTTAATCTTAATGCATTTCTATCGTGACAAGCATATATCTTTGGGTCTTGCCATGGCTTTTATTGTGAAAAAAGGTACTTCAGTATCATAGTACTTGCTGCCTTCATTGTCCTTCCTGTTCAATCTACTTCAGCTAGCTAGCTACTTGACAAAGTGTGAAATTTATTGATGATTACTTTGGTGCAAGTTAGCTTACCAGAGTTTCTGAGCTCTTATTAGTTTTAGATATTAAGTTGACTTACTTTATTTAGGATAGAAGCAAATGAAGGTTCTTATATTGTGTTAGTTTGACTCGTCAAATTGGTTTGACATCATTCTTTAATTAAATTGAACCAAATTACCCTCCTCTTGTTCATATCCTTTTTCTCTAATCCCAGTTCCAAGGTATTCTCAATTTCTGATATGATGTTGACTTGTAACAAACATAACTTGTGGTATTTACTGGTGTTAGGAAAATTATTCAGATGATATTTTTTCAAACAACTTTATTATGTTTGAAGAGTAGGAGGTGAAGTGATTGATCTAGAGAATGGAAATATGATGGGAATCAAGAACTCACTGCTATGAGGTTTCTAGTACGTTAATACTCTCTTGACTTTATGATTTTTTCCAGTTATATTTGTTTCGCGCTTAAAGGTGGCGAACCGGAGCAGTGGTAAAGCTGTTTTTTCATGACTAAAAGGTCATGGGTTCGAATTCAGGAAATAGCCTCTTTGCAATTATGTAAAAATAAGGGTGGAGCTGGCAAAACAGGCTCGCCTTGGCGGGCCAACCTGCCAAACGGGGCGGGCGGGCTCATTTTTTGGCGGGTTGATGGCGGGCATAGGCAGGCCGAGGCGGGTCAGTGTAAAATAAGCTCGGGCTGGCGGGCCAACCCGCCCAACCCACCAACAAGGCGGGGCAGGCTGAATTTTTCAGCCCATTTCCAAAAGCGGAGCGGAGCGGGCTGACTCATTTTTGGCGGGTTGATGGCGGGGGGGGCGGGGCGGGGCAAGGCGGGCCGCCCACTTTGCCACCTCTTTACCTCCACCCCACACTCGTTAGTCGGGTTTAACAGGAGTGGTTTTTTTTTTTTTTAATATTTGTTTCGCGCTTATAAATAATGTTATAAAAATAGCAAATATAGCTGATATGGCCACTAATCAGGCCACTTCAGACTTCCATACTTGCACACTGAACAGCCTATTCTTTAGGAGGTTTATTTTGTCTATTTTTTGCATATATTTTGTACTTTGTTAAGTGCGTCTAAATTGATCCTGATATAATTTGTTTTAATTTGCATTCTTTGTTTTTATTCTATCGAAGGATGAGGATGATTTGTAAAGTACTGGTGATACTGGAATATGTTTGGGTGGAGCTGGAATATATTGTTTTGCACAAGGTCGCTTAAAATTTGGTGGACTGTTGCTTTTAAATAGTTTTTTAAATTCTTAATCCCCCCTCTCTTGTTTTAAATTAGTGCAGAATCCTAAATAGGTTTAGCTTTATGATCTGGTACTAAAAAACATTGTCAATCATCAAATAACAGACTCAGCTTGCTATGATATAATTTGATCCTCTCATTGAATGCAATTGAGTGATGTTAACTATTGTAATCTATTTGACATTATAAGAGTCACTACAAATTAATTGTCTAATTTTTTTCATGATACCTAATGTTATAACCGATGTCAAGATCCCTTGTATATTTTATTGCTGTTGCACTAAGGGAAATCCCACTTGCAAGGCCAGAGGTGAGAGAAGTCCTTATACTTAACCTTACCCTTCACCCTTCACGTATTGAACATTTCAATTTTTCATTTTCCATAGAGGAGTTTGTGTTCCCAAAAGGATGAAAATAAATCAAAACAATGATTTCAAAAAGCCAACTGGATAAAATCTTCAGAGTTTGGATTTTGGAAACTTGGATGCACAAAATGGACCCTCCAAGCTGAACTATAGCACATGGCCTATTGAAGAATACCAGCATTAGTGCTTTAAAATGTATGGATGGGAAACCAAGTAAAGATCTGTAGGTAGCTAACTCTCTTTTCAAGTGTTGTCCTTGTGTTGAGTAAAACGGGAGATTATTTATATACCTACTTTTTTTATTGATGAACTGTCACATAGAGAAAAAAAACAAAATTTCTCTTTCCTCCATGTATACAAGTTAGAAAATACTAATTTTCCATTCATTGGCTTAGACCACTGAATCATTGATGAGCCTGGACCATATTAAATATTTCCGTAAAACAGAATAGTACTTGCTGGTAAGTTTGAAATCATTAGAATATCCAATGATTGATTTTGATTTCCATGCTCTACCAAATAGGATCAGTGTGTTATTTTTCTCTGTTTCTATATTCTGCCATTATTTTTTCCTTTCAAATTCTATCATATTTCGTGTATTTATAAAAGGGAAAAAGAAGTATAATGTTGTAGGAAAGTGTTTAGGTTATGTTATAGAGATAGAAATTATGGGACCCACACTTTTTTTCAAAAACCAAAAAAAAAAAAAAGTTTGGGTCTCACAATCTCTATCTCTATAACATAACCTAAACACTTTCTTATAAGATTATATTTTCTATTTCCCTTTATAAAAATACAAAAATTGACATATGCCGATCTGAGTTTATTTTCAAATTTGTATTCTTTTGAATACATTTCTCTCCTGATTATGTGATAGAATTCTTTTTTCACATGAGGAGCCAATTACAGAGGTCAATGATGAGACATTCGGTGAGTTGACAGTAAAGTTTACTGTCCTCCATTCATAGTTCAGGCTTTGATTCATAATTTGGATCTAATTTACTTTAACGATTCAGAAGCCTTAATTCAATCATAAACTCCTTTCCTCAAAGACCAGTCATGTAAGTATCTATTAGTCTTATGGTACTCATTATCACATCACAATTTATAGAAGCTTAGTCATCAAGCTGACCCCAAAAAAAGCCATAGCTATTATAGTAAATTTTACATTAATGATATATTAAATTATATTACATATATGTGAATGCTCAAAAATATAAAATCAACTAAAATTAAATATATTTATTTGTGATTAATTTTTTTGTCACTTTCATTCTAAACAGTTACAAGAACATGAAGAAAGCAAAAAGGTTGGTGTGCAAAAAATCCTAAAACAAGAGAGGATGCTTGTAATCATAAAGTACTTAATATTTATTAAAGTGACAAAGCAAATAACCCACCCCGCCCGCCAATGTATTAAAAATATGAATTTTTTTAAAAATTATACTTCCCATATGTATAAAGGTTATTTTTTTAAAAAAAAATAACTTGATTGTTCAACCCGTTCTTACGCAGGACGGGTTTAAATGAATGAGCAAGTTGGAAATCACAATCCAACTCGCCATTTTTTATTGGTTTAACGGGTCAATTAGACGGTTTAAACTTGATTTAAATAGTAGGTAAGAATGGTCTGTTGCAAGGATTATTTTTTTTCACGAAAATATTAGCATATAATGATCTAAATGAAACTAAAACGTACAAGCATTTGTAGATTGAATCTAATTCATTTTAAATTTAATACTTTCTTTTTAATTAAAAATTAAATGGTAAAAACTACAATATTTATATGATAATAAAAAAATACAAGACAAAATACTATATTTGAAACAATAATAAATTTAAATGTATAAATGATTTCTAATTAAATCAAGCCAACATGAAGCATAATTTCAATAAAAAAAAGTACCTTAAATTTATTTTTATTACATCATTCTACTGTTTTTATTAATTTAATAAACACATAAATTAACAAACTCAATTCGGAAGCTGCCAACAACAATGTCAATGTCAAGTTTAAGGTATGCTTTATCCTCGATAAGGTTTTTTTTGGGGATCTATTTCTAAAATATGTAATATGTGATAATTATTTTTATTTTTTTCGAACATCGTTTTCCTTGTCTGCATCCCTATTAGTTTTGATGACTTTTCCTCCTATTAACTTCCTTTTCTTTATAAAATGTTGTGGGCTTTTTCACTGATATTTTTTGAATTTCTCTCATCTTTTAACCGAGCAAATATTCACTGATTTGGCTCATGTGAGCCGAGTAGAGAGAAAAGAGAGGAGAGAAGAAAGAGAGGAAAAAAGAAGAGTGAGAAACGGATCATGCAATTATTTTTCCTTTTAATCAACTAGAGATTCTTAAAACTTGTGCTTAGGCCTAGAGTGTAAATGTTGGAAGTGTGTAATATACACATATCCTTATCATACATCTTAAAAATAAAATAAGAACAGCGGATATACATTTTAAAAAAAGTTCATTCTAAAAGTTTTTTTTTTTTTTTTTTCATTATACATCTTAAAAAAAAAAAATTATTGTCACCCTTATTCCTGGATTTGTTTCCTTCATTTTTATCTCAATCCTACCACCATCTACGATTAAAAGAAATAAAAAATAAATGTCATCTTACTTTTTTAATTAAGATTTTACTTTAAAATCTTAATTAAGATAACATTAGAAAGTTTTCACATGTCTTATATTTTACTTTTTCGTCTTCGTTGGTAGGAACAATGGCCAAAGTGTCACTCTTGGAAAAAAAAAAAACCAAAATGTCATGTCAACAGTAAATTTTGCCAAAATGTCACTTGTCATATTTCGCTACACTGTGTAGCGAAATATGTGTGCAAATAATTCGCTAGACGGTATAGCGAAATATGCCACGTCAGAACCAAAAATGTCACGTGTCAAATAAGCAGAATTTCGCTACACAGTGTAGCGAAATTCTCCCTGTCTGACACGTGGCATTTTTGGTTCTGTGCATTCTGACGCAGCATATTTCACTACACCGTGTAGCGAATTATTTGCATATATATTTTGCTACACATTGTAGCGAAATATGCCACGTGGTATTTTGACAAAATTTACTATTGACGTGGTATTTTGATATTTTTTTTACCCAACAGTAACACTTTGGCCACTGTTCCTCGTTGGTATGCCAAATATAACAATATTCATATAAAATTTCAAAATATTCACATTTATCACTTTTATACAAAATACATTATTACAAGCAACAGCGTTGAAACATAGTGTTTGAAAGCTCAACTCAAAAAAAAATTCTCATGTAATTAACAAAAAAAAATAATAATAATAAAGTTTTATGTACTTTATACACCCTTTTTCAATTTGTATAATTCAGACAGAAACTCCGCATTCTATTTTTTTAATTAAAAATTAAGTTATAAAAACTACGAATAATTACGTGATAATAAAAAATAGAAGATATTACTTTTTAAATTATGAAGAGAAAAAGATATAAGGGAAAAATGTGTGTGTAATTTTAAGGATATAAAATTGTATTATTTTAAGTAAGAGAAAGAGATAGATCATAAAAAAAAAGTAGATAAAAAATAAACAAATGTGTGGATCTCACTTCTTAGTGAAAGTAAAATAATACAAGTTAGGATGTAATTTAGAAGGAAAAACGCTCTTCCCAACATATAAAAGATTCTCAATTATCGACAAAAACAAGTCATTTAAAAAAAAATAGTTATATCATTTTTATTAGTTTATTAAACATTAAAAAGACAGACAAGCGTTCAGGGAACAGTGATCAAAGTGTCATGTTTGGACAGAAAAATTATCAGACTGCCACGTCAACAGTAAATTTTGTCAAAATGTCACGCGGCCTAATTCGCTACACAGTGTAGCGAATTATGTATGCAAGTAATTCGCTACACAGTGTAGCGAAATATGCCACGTCCGGAACGCACAGAACCAAAAATGTCACGTGTCAAATTTTGCAAAATTCGCTATTCTAGCGAAATATGCCACGTCCGGAACGCACAGAACCAAAAATGACACGTGTCAAATTTTGCAAAATTCGCTACATAGAGTAGCGAATTATGTCGCGTGACATTTTGGTAAAATTTAGTCAATCTGGTAATTTTTTTTTTTGTAGAAACGAGGCAAAATGATCACTCTCCCAGCGTTCAGCCAATCCGTATGTCAAGCTGTTTTCATTTTGGATCGGCAAACCCTAACATTACAGTAACACAACTTGTAGCTGCTAACAACAATGTCAATGTCAATGTAAATGTAAATGTCAATGTCAATGTCAATGCCAAGTTTAAGGTACGCCGTTTTCATTCTAAGGTTTCCTTCAAACCCCTCTTTCCTTCTTTGCTTCCCTTCCAACACAAGGATGAGACAATACTCTCATTCTCATTCTCCATTAATTGACAAACCTGATGATAATGATTCTGTTTCCTTATTCAATCGCATGCTCCTTATGCGTCCTACCCCACCCATCATTGAATTTGGCAAGATTTTGGGGTCCCTTGTGAAGATGAAGCATTTCGCCACTGCAATTTCACTTTCTAAAAAAATGGAATTCCGGGGAATCACGCCGAGCATTGTTACCTTGAATATGTTGATCAATTGTTACTGCCACATGTGTCAAATGACTTTTGCTTTATCTGTATTAGGCAAGATACTCAAGAGGGGTTATCACCCAGATACCATAACCTTGAACACTCTTATGAAAGGTCTCTGTCTTAAGGGTGAAGTTAAGAAAGCACTGATCTTTCATGACAAGGTGGTAGCTCAAGGATTTCAGTTGAACCAAGTTAGTTATGGGACCTTGATCAATGGGTTATGTAAAATAGGAGAAACAAAAGCGGCCATACAGTTGCTGAGAAAGATTGAAGTGCAATTAGTTCAGCCTGATGTGGTAATGTACAACACAATCATTGATAGCCTATGTAAAGATAAACTTATAACTCAAGCCTTTGATTTATATTCTGAAATGGTTGTCAAGAGAATTTCTCCTGATGTTTTGACTTACAGTACACTAATATATGGCTTTTGCATTCTGGGTCAATTGAAAGAAGGGTTTGCTTTGTTTAACGAAATGCTATTGAAAAACATCAACCCAGATGCTCATACCTTTAACATATTGATTGATGCATTGTGTAAGGAAGGAAAGGTTAAAGAAGCAACAAATGTGTTAGTTGTTATGATAAAAGAAGGTGTAAAACCTAATGTTGTTACTTATAGTACATTAATGGATGGGTATTGCTTAGTTAAGGAAGTGAACAATGCAAAATATCTGTTCAACACTATGGCCCAAAGGGGTGTGACTCCTAATGTTCACAGCTACAGTATCATGATTAACGGATTATGTAAGATTAGAATGGTGGATGAGGCCATGAATCTCTTTGAAGAAATGCATCGCAAAAATATGATCCCCAATGCGGTAACTTACAGCTCTCTTATTGATGGTTTGTGCAAAACAGGGAGAATCTCTATTGTTTGGGATCTTATTGACGAGATGCATGATAAAGGTCAACCAGCTAATATAATCACTTACAATTCCATTATACACTCTCTATGTAAAAGTCATCATCTTGACAAGGCAATTGCATTATTCACCAAAATTAAAGATCAAGGTATTCGGCCAAATGTGTTGACATTTACTATACTTATTGATGGATTATGCAAAGGTGGAAGACTTAAGAATGCACAAGAGGTTTTTCAGGATCTTTTGATTAAAGGCTATCCTCTAGATGTCCAGACATATTATGTTATGATCAATGGACTTTGCAAAGAGGGTTTGTTTGATGAAGCATTGGCCTTGCTATCAAAAATGGAAGACAATGGTTGCATCCCTGATGTTGTAACTTTTGAAGTAATTATTCATGCTCTCTTTGAAAAAGATGAGAATGATATGGCGGAGAAACTTCTTCGTGAAATGATTGCTAGAGGCCTATCGTAAGAGAAAACTAGGTGAGATGCTTTCTTGTTACGCATTTAAGTTATTTTGAATTTTGATGATGACCTATCTTTATTTTTTCTGATAGCTAGTCATAAAATAAAATATGTACTATGCAATGCGCTCACTATCACTTCAGTTTTGATTAAAAGTAATATGTTGTTAGGTTCATCTTGATATTATAATGATAGCAGTTGTCAGTGGTCAGCTTTTTTTAGTCTTGAGGTAGCTATCGTTTTTCTTCCCAATGGACTAGCGATCTGCTTCATCTACGTTTAATGAATTTTCAGTCACTACTCATCGTTAGTGTTTCAGATAACAAAACAAGCTGAAAATATCATGATATTCTGGAATGCTTTTTCAGCTATTGTTGACTCTATTTATTACCCCAAATTATAGAAAGTAGAGCTGGGTTTCTATTATGCTGAGTTGAAAACACAAGCATATTTTGGTTCCATTATTTGAGTTGTGTTAGGTGTCAAAGTTGCTGATATTTTCCCAAGGTCATTGCCACATAAATAATTTGAGTTTTTTTAATGGCTATGATTTATTTTGGTGGTAAATATATTGGAATGTGTGTTCTATTGATTGTCTAAACTTTAGTTTTAAAAATAATGAATAAAGTTAATTTAAGGATTGGGGGTTATTTAGAGGTCTCAAAATTAATTTTATAGTTTTTATGTGATTTTTATATTTTGTTAATAACTAACCCATTCCCTTATTAGAGATTGACTATAAATATGATGTGGATATGAATTTTTTCTGCCCGCTGGCTTAGTCAGACTTTAATTACATCTTTTATCTTCTTGTACAGGTACTTATTTTGTTTCGATATCCTTGGGGTTCTTCATTCTTTTGATTCAGCAGCTAGGGATGGAGTTACTTGTCACTTGAGGTTTTCAGATCCGTTGTCTTAAGGAATGTAAAAAACTAGCTGTCAACTTTTATTTATATATTTTTGGCCTAAAATGTATTTGTGAACTTAATCCCGTAGTCACAATTTCACTTTTTGCTGGCTAATTTTGCTCCTCTGGTGTCTCGAGGATCAAAGCAGTGTGTTTAATTTCTGTTCCTGAACAAACAGAACTTATAATGAATACCAAGAAGGCAAAAACATAGTGTCTGCAGTTACTCCAGACAATGCCTACCATATATAGTAGAAACATGTCAGTTTTCAAATGCAAAATGGGCACAAAAGTAGATGAGTATATGATGAATGAGAAAAAATACCATGATGAAGTATGGAAGTAGACCCCAATTGTTTTAATGCTTACTTCATACTTGGTCTGCTAGGCCCTCTGTACCCTTGTTCAAATAAAGGCATTTAGTTAATTTGGCTATTTTCAACAAATTTCCACTGGACTACCTGCGTTTGGTAATCAAAACAACTTAAATAAAAGAAGGCTAAACATTTCAAAATCATAACAATTATTAGAGAACGGTGAGAGAGTGTCACAAACTCCTATATCCATCTCTTGGTTTTATCTCTCTATCCGCATTGTTGATTGCGGTAAAACTTAGTTGCTTCAAATCAAATGTAACTCTCAATGAAGAGCTCTATTTTGTTGTTACTAATCTGATGTGATCCATCCCAATAAGAAATATAGGAGGATGTATTGTAAGAAGAGGTGTAGAGGATTGGTGAGTCAGCATTAGTTAGTTGGTTAGAACAGTTAGTGGCATCTTAGCTGGGATTTGGGTCTGGGAGAGAGTAGAGACTCTTCGATAACTTTACACTATTCTCTAGTTGTTTCTAGTTTCTTTTGTAGCATTTTCCTTTTCTGTCTTCAGGTGTAATTCCTTGTAATAGTCAATTGATGCCTTGTAATTCTGAGTTGAATTTCACAGTGTATTGTTGTTACTCAATATCAGTGTATTGTTGTATTCAATATCAGTAAAATCAGTTCTGTTGTTAGTCAAACCTTTGGTTGAGTTCAGTAATTTCTTGATTACTGGTTGGATCTATCATAATCACACCTTGCTTGATGTTGTGATTGATGCAACATATACCAAACCTTCCAACAAGGGCAATTGTGTTAATGTTCTTACTTCTGATCAAGTTCTTGATTCTTCAGGCATGTCTGTTACGACAGCTAGACCTTTAAGCACTTATGTTTCCCTTTTGATAACTCCACCACAATTGGATTTTTGATGTACAAAACACTAGGACTGAGAAATTCAAGCCCCATATATTCCTTCTAATCTTCCTTTAAGCACTTATCCTTTTTGATTCTTCAGAGAGGAATGCAGTGGCTGTTCCAAAGGGAGCACTGATAGCAATTCGGTTTAAGGTTAATCCAGGATTGTGGTTAATGCATTTCTATCATGACAAGCATATATCTTTGGGTCTTGCCATGGCTTTTATTGTGAGATATGCTCCTTCATTATCGTAGCACTTGCTGCCTCCTCCTCCAGAAGATTTTCCTTCCTCTTGAGTCTACTCAAGCTACCTAGCTGCTTGGCAAAGTGTGAAATTTATTGATGATTGTTTTCGTGCAAGTTAGCTTTCCAGAGTTACAGAGCTCTTATTAGTTTTGGATATTAAGGTAGCTTGCTTTATTTAGGATAGAAGCAAATGAAGGTTCTTAACTTGTGTTAGTTTGACTCATCAAATTGCTTTGGCATCATTCCTTGATTAGAATGAATCAATTTACCATCCTCTTATTCCATAACCTTTTTCTCTAATCCCCGTTCCAAGGTATTCTCAACATCTGTTTTGGAGTTGATTTGTGCTAACTGCTAACAAAATAGCTTGTGGTATCTTTATTGGTGTTAGGAGAATTATTCAGATGATATTTTATTCAAACAACTTTATTATAATTGAAGACTAGGAGGTGAAGTGATTCATCTGGAGAAGGGAAATATGATGGGAATCAAGAAGTCACTGCTATAGGTTTATGGTACGTTAATATTCTCTTGACTACATTCTTTTTTCCTGTTATATTAGTTTCTCCCTTATAACTAAGAGAAAAGTATTTATCCTTTTAAAGGATAACACACAGTGTTTCATTTGCAAAATTATTTCATTCCTTTCTTCCAAATCCATTCTCCCTTCTCATCTCTCTGCAAGCGAGCGGTTATTCTCCCTTCTCACTCAAACTTGCTTTCCCTTTCATTCTCTTTTCCATTCTCATAGTTAATTTTTCTTCAATTTCGTTCTCACCCAAACACTTTGATATAACCATTGATTCAGATTCATGCTGAAGGCGGAAAGAGATGTTGCAGATAAACATCGAGCAAAGGAAATACCAAAACGGAAGATCAGAAAATGGCGCCTATACAACCAATAGTTGAAAAGGTAAAACCATCAAGCCTATTTCTATTTCAGGTAACTGTCACACTTTTTTTTGTGGGACTTTGATTCATATTATGCCTATATCTGACCGTGCTTACTTCCCAAAATTTTGTTTTTTCTCTCTCTTTTTTTTTTTTTCGTTTTTAGAGCTGTGAAACCACTTGATGGAGGATATGAAAGCTGTCAGGGAAATTGAGGTGTCTGAATTTTTGCAGGTTTGATTTTTATCCCTTTGTTTGAATTAGTACCTTTTTATATTTGGCAGATTTCCACTGCTCATTATCAGCTGCCACTGATACCAACTCAGCTTCAAGTTTTCTCCCAAGCGATACACTGAGCCTCACCCACTTTCATCTGTATTATCCTATGACAAATGTTCACCATCATATAAAAAGTTTTGCCTCAGTATTAGCAGTTATCAGGAACCTAAGAGCTACACTCAAGCATCACAACATGAGGCTCAGTGAAAAGATATAAAGCAACATTAGTAGCTAAAGGTTACACTCAACTTCAGGGAGTAAATTACCTTGAGACCTTTTGATACGACTTGTATTAAGAGATAAAGAATGTTACTTAAGAAATATACTTAGTCATTAGAAAGTTAGGAGATGGTTACTTAGTTAGATGGATTGGTTTTGTTTGTATAAAAAAAGGATATGTCCTCACTATTGAAGTCAATTTTAGTTTTTTCTGAATATAGGCAGAGAATGCTCAGTTAGAAGGGGAGTTTCCAGGGGACTGTGCCCCTTGGCTGGAGAAGTGTCTCTTGTGTGTTGTTTGTTTCTCTTTTCATCAATAAACACATCTCTTTTCTTCCATTTCCATTTGTTCCTCTGTTCTTTCTTTCTATAATACCCAATTCCAATTTCTAAAGAATCCAGAGTTGTAACACCTTTTCTCCGGTAGTTAAAATGACAATTGTTCGAGCTCTTCTTTCTTTTGCCACTGTCAAGGGGTGATTTATGGAACAACTTGATCTCAATAAAGAGAGAAGAGAAGAAAAAACAAGACACAAATTTATCCTCCTTTAACCAATATGGATTACATTCAGTAATATTTTATTATATTCTCCTCATCGTATTTATAAAACACTTTGTTTATAAGAAAAATATAAATAGGCTTAGAAATCCTAAGTAACAATAGTTATTCGTGGATCCAAATCCTAACTGCTAAAAAAAAAAAAAGAATAAAATAAACCCGAGGTCCATACCAAAATCAGGCCTATGTGATGCCTATTGGCTTTCTCTGCTTCCAACTAACAAGAGTCGGTCATCTGCATGCGAAGTATGAGTTATATCTAACATTAAAGAAAAATATAAATATAAAGTAATTTGAAAAAATTATATGAAATTCTATTATAAAGATTACTTTTTCTATTTATATCATATCCTAATATTATTGCCATAAATATCAAATATGATATATTTTTTCTATCAAACAATTTTTATCGAGGGCGCATCAAACATGAGAAATGATATTACAAACATAAGCATTTATAGATTGAATTTAATTCACTTTAAACTCAATATTTTCTTTTACTTAAAATTAAATGCTAAAAACTAAAAATAATTATGTGATAACAAATAAAATATAAGTATTTGTAGATTGAAATTTACTCTAAACTCAATATTTTTTTTTTGGTAAGCAATATTTCTTTTTAATTAAAAAATATAGTATAAACTACAAATAGTTATGTGATAATAAAAAATATGTTGTAAAAAATAAAATTATCTTCTTTACACACATAAAAGTATTATTTTTTAATTAAAAGGTTGCAAACTTAGGAAAAAAATTGAGTTTAATTTACATTACTCAATTAAGCAGCTATTAGTCACATTAGAAATAAATGCTCTGTTTGATTGTGTTACTTTTTTTTTCTTAAAATTATTTTATAGAATAGTTATGGAAGATACATTTTTTATTTTGAAAGTTAAAAGTCAAAACACAAAACAAAAATAACTCGGAGACATGTTCTCTAAATTTGACTCTAAAATAAAAAAATATTATAATTTGTAAACTTTTTTTTGCAAAACAATTCTTGTCAAATGAATTTTTTTATCCAAAAAATTAAAAAAAAAAAAAAAACTGTTTTTAGAAACGGTATTCAAACATGAATAGGCTTATCTGCAATCTCAATATTATGGGAATAACCTGATTTAAAAAAGGGGCAATGCTTTTCTCATGCATCGTGAGATAGTATTATCTCATGTAGAGATATAATTGGGTGAGTCCCATGGTTAAAAGAAAAGAAAAAAGAAAAAGAAATGCTGACTCGGAATGCGATGTGTCTGTGACATGAGATAAAAAAGGTTTTGGTGTTTGTCATTTTAAATGACATAAGTTACGTCATTTTAGAAGAGAGATAGACACAGAAAAACGAAAATGATGGGAGAGAGAAAGTGAGTAGTTTTTTTAATTTAAAATTCAAATTTTCTGTGTATGTATCTCTCCTAAAATGACATAACTTTCTGTTATTTAAAATGACAAACACTTTTCTCTTAAAAAAATAAAATAAAAAACTGAATAAATAATTTTATAATTATCAAGGGAGATCGATGAGCCTCTTCATCCGTTAGTATCTCAATCTGTTTCCATTTTACATAAACCCAACCCTAACTCAATTCCTAAGCTCCCAACAA